TCGGCTGCAACTTGTGGAGCGCTGGAATTCCACTTTTGATCGGCTAGCCGATCGTTGCACCATCCCATATGCTGGGAGCATTTTTGGCGCAAAAAAACTGTTTGACACGAATGTCAGCTTTGGCTCCTTTGCTGTCAGCGCGGGTGCAATCGCCTGCCTTCATATTCTCATTTGGAGAGCTGCGGCGTCAGGTGGGGCTTTGCGCCCCCCTTTCCATTGACTGTATCCTGTGTGGGGGATATTACTAGTGGAGCTTTGCGCTCCCCTTTAATAGCGTAGCTGAATTTCCTGTGTGACGGATATTGCTGGTGGAGCTTCGCGCTTCCCTTTAATAGTACAGCCAATCCTTCTGTGTGGCGGATATTGCTGGAGGAGCCTCGCACTCCCTTTTGGTAGCACAGCCGACTGTCCTGTGAGAATGTTATTGCTGGTGGAGTTTTGCACTCCCCCTCCTTTCCTGTTGCTAACACTTTTGCGTTTGCCGCTTTTGCAGACTGCTGACCTGCCTAGTCCAATCAGGGCGCGTTATATTCTTTGACAAGCGGAGCTTTGCGCTCCCAATTGCTTGACTTTGGTGATTGATCAGCATTGCCGTTGCAAGGTAGCACGGTTTAGAGGCCTCCAAGCTTTGGCCTGTGCCTCCTAAGGGCAGTTGTTTCCCCTTGCGACGTTCTAACAACTGTGGACATCCGTCCATTGTCAACACCTGGCCGGTTTTTCATGGATCAACATCATGCCCAAAGTTTCACACAAATCGAAGCATTGTCGCAAAGCGGGGTGTTCGGATAGTCCTCGTCATCAAGAGGCCTCTCCTACTACGAGGGATTCCACTTCTGGATCCTCTTCCAGGCTGGCAGGGTCGGACCCTTCCAAGCCCCACCGCAAGTCATTATCACACTCTCTGTCTTCTCATGCGGAAGCTCACCAGGACAAAGTCCTACAAAAGATTTGTGCTAAAGCCAGCAAACACCAACCATCTACCAAGGAGAGGACTGCGGTTCCTCCTGGTACTGCTGCCGCCTCGGACTCTGGGGCGCAGGTGGCTCAACTGTCCCTTCAGGATTGTCCTGCAGTAATTCAAACAGCCGATCTCTGGGGTTCCTCCGCAGCCCCGGTTCCTCAGCCCCCGGCAGAACCTTCTCTGGCTCCACGTTCATCGTTGGCTCTGCCCAAACCAGCTTCTGTACCTTCCCCGGTGGAAACTGGGTCTGGTGCGGCACAACAAGCAAGTTTTTTGTCTCCAGATCAAATTCAACAGCTCACCGTGACTGCAGTACAGCAGTCATTGGCGTCTCAATTTAGGCCCGCCAGCAGGACGGCCTTGGTTCGGTCTGGCGCTTCTACTTCTCGAGTGGATGTCGAGAAGGAGGATGCTCTTTCTATTGAAGGACTGGATTCTCCAGTCTCCTCCATTGCGAGCCATCCATCTTCCCTGGCTGAGGAGGGATCTCAGGATTTGGAACTCTCTGAGGACGAGGACCTCCCTCCGGACCAGCCCGCGTTTACGGGCTTATTTCCCCAGGCCTTGTTCAAATCTCTGCTACACAAGGCTGTTAATACGGCCCAGCTCAGCTCTCCATCTCCATTGCTGGCTATTCCGAGTGCGGCCAAAGGGGCTCTGAACCCCCTCTTCGCCAAATTATCCAGGCCTGTGGATTCCATTCTTTCCCCTCCTTTGTTCCTTGATATTATCCGGAAACAGTGGTCCTCACTGGGTTCGGCCCCGGCCCCTATGGCATCGGAGCAACGGAACTTCAATGTGGCTCCCGACCTTGCTACCTTCCTTCAGGTCCCATCCGTGGATGCTCCTGTGGCCACTCTCTTACCACACACTATGGTTCCAGGTGATCCTGATGAAAGTCTCCGCCCAGAGGAGCGCCGAGCGGAACAAGTGTTACAACGGGCTCACCAGGGCACCGCTTGGGCCGTTTGGGCGGCTTCTACGGCATCTTTCTTCAATCGCACAACTTTCCTATGGCTCCGTCATCCACAGGAGACTTTGGCTACGGAGGACGTCCATGTACGGCAGGAACTGAACAAGATTATCACCGCCACACAATTCTCGGCGGACGCTACCCTCACTACCGCTCGCTTTGCGGCTAAGTCCCTCACCTCTTCCGTTACTGCCCGCCACTTGGTCTGGCTTTGTCACTGGCAGGCCAACACCAGGCATAAGTGGCGTCTGGCTTTGGTTCCATTCACCGGTTCCAAGCTGTTTGGGGATCCTCTTGACACCTTCCTGATCGAAACAAAAGACAAAAGGAAGGTTCTTCCGGCGGTCTTCCGTAGGGGGAAATCGAGGTTCCATCCATACCCGGCCCATCACCAATCCCGTTCGTATGAAGGAGCTAACTTTACCTCTCCTTCTCCCAGACCTTTGGGGAACTTTCAATCTAGGCAGCGGGGCACGCAGGACAGGGCATCCAGAGGTAGGACTTTTGTTTTCAAATGGCCCTTTCGAGGGGGAGGAGGTCGTTTCTCCAGGCGCCGTCGTTAACTGCATCCTGGATCCTCCCATAGGGGGCAGATTGGCCCTCTTCGTCCCTGTTTGGGAAGGTTCCACTTTGGATAAATGGGTCCTGGCCACCTTACGATCTGGGGTGGCCATTGAATTTCTCTCCCCTCCTCCGATGGTCTTTGTGAGCTGTCCGCTTTCTAACAACATCGAGAAACGATCTCTTATGGACTCGGCGGTTCAGCATCTCCTTTCAATCAGAGCTATTCAACCTGTGCCCGAGATTGAACAGGGGCGGGATTCTATTCCCATGTTTTTCTTGTACCAAAGTCATCGGGGGGGTGGAGACCTATTCTGGACCTTAAACATCTGAACCGGTATGTTATATACTGCAAATTCAAGATGCAGTCCTTAAAATCTATCCTCGACGGTGTTAGGAGGGGCGATCTCCTCTCTTCCATAGACCTCACTGAGGCCTATCTCCATATCCCCATCCTCCCCTCCCATCGGAGGTTCCTTCAGTTCTGCTATGGGGGCGCCATTACCAGTACCGGGCCTTGCTCTTTGACCTCTCCTCTGCCCCTCGTACCTTTACCAAGGTACTGGCTGCCTTAGCAGCATCACTTAGGGCTAAATCTATTCATCTACAATGCTATTTAGACAATATTCTAATTTTGTCTTCTACTCAACAGCAAGCTGCCTCTGACCTGCAGCTTACTCTCCAGACTCTGGCTGCCCATGGCTTCTCCATTAACTTGGAGAAGAGCCACCTAGTCCCTACCACTCGTTTGCTTCATCTGGGGACTCTGATTGATTCAGTGGCAGGGAGGGTCTACCTTTCGTGCGAGCGACAGGATAGCTTGAGGTCCCTGGTTTCTAAGGTTGAACGGGCTAGGTCTGTGTCTCCCCTTGTACTATCTAGCTCCTGGACAAAATGATATCCGCCATCGCAATAGTTCCCTGGGCCCAGCTGCACTCAAGGGAACTTCAATGGTTTCTTTTACCGTTGCAGAAGGTGGGCAGAGGCACTTCGACTACATTTGTGCCTAAGATCATTACCACCTTCCACCCCATACAGGAACTTGTCCTGCCCAACTTTTGTCCTCGTCCGGCTCACCAACTGGAATGGCAGTGGCACTGTCTAGATGTCCGACGGGCTCTACGTATCTACATTAAGCGAACTGCGGACTTCCACAGAATGGAATCTCTTTTTGTTTCCTTCCTGCCAGTTTCTTTAGGTAGTAAGGTGTCGTCAACGACCATCGGACATTGGATTCGGCAGACGATAGCTAAGGCCTATGAACTACGTTCCCTTCCGAGACCTCCTCGACTGACTGCACGTTCTACCTGCAGCGCTGCGACAGGGCCACGCAGGCCTCATTGCTCGAAATCTGCAGGGGGCTACATGGACTTTGCCGTCTCCATTCATCCAGCACTATAAACTGGACAAATTTGCTTCGGCAGATGCCGCTTTTGGTTGTAGGGTGCTACAGCGGGTTCTTTCGGGGGAGGGTGTTTCGGACCAGCCTGGTCCCACCCAATTGTAGGGACGTGAATCTTTGGTATGTCCCATCCTGGCTGCTGTCTCCACCCACAATGGAGAAGGGGCGTTGGTCCTACCTGAGACGCACCTTCTCGTTGGGTGGAGACAGCAGCCAGACCCTCCCTTCACCAGTCTGGTCTCTATCTCTCGCCTAGTTCCTTTCTCTCTTGTTTGGTGTCCCACAAGCCGAGCCTATCTTCTTGTCTTCGCCAAAAGCTGGGTTTGCCCATTAAAAGGGCGTGACTTAGCAACTTTGACAGGCTCAATCTATCAACCTGAATAGACGAGCACACCCCATCCTGGCTGCTGTCTCCACCCAACGAGAAGGTGCGTCTCAGGTAGGACCAACGCCCCATCTCCCTTTAAATGCTGCCAGAGACCTAATTGTCAATTAGTTTTGCAAGGCCAAACGGAGCACAGAGTCAAACAGACTTCTCAGATCTTGAATTGACTATATGAAGTAATTGCTTCCTCCAAAGGCTCATGTCCATTTGCTCCTCTTTTATGTCTTATGGGAGGGGCCAATCATCTCCAAGCCTTACTCTTGAGTCGCCCTTTTTTTTCTTAATTGTTCTTGCTTTCTGGCAGCTCTGCGCCTGCGCACACTGGGAACAAGCTCACACTGTTCTTCTGCCTCGTTGATGTCAGATTCCGGAGGCTAAGGAGCAGTGGTGGTTTCTCCTGGTTCAGTCTGGTTCTATAAAACCAGTACTAAAACCGGCGGGAGACTCTGTCCACCCGCCACAAAATCATCATGTGTGATCTGCGCAAGTTCCCGTTATGCTCCCATTGCGAACCAGTAGTAAAGGTAAGTAGAATCCACCCCTACTCTGGAGGCAGCACATACCAGATGGCCCTGGCTCCCTTTCTGTCTCCAACGCAGAGCCCTCATCTGAGCCTTCCCCAGACTCCAGGACTGGTCCACATTCCTCCCCAACCTCCTCACTGTCCGAATCTGCTGCCAGCTCTGCTGGCTGCTGGCAGGCCACAACACACACTCACATGATGTCGCACTTAATGACCATGCTTGATTTCCTTAATGACTGCAACTGAAATTGCTGCTGTAACTTTCTATGATCAAGTAATCTTTTGTTTTGCAACTGCGTTGCTTAGTGACAGAGTTCTCAGTTCCAAATGAAGATAAGAGCCCTGGTGGCACAGTAGTTAGAATGCAGTATTGCAGGCAAACTCTGCCCATAGCCTGGAGTTTGATTCTGACAGGGCCCAAGATTGACTCAGCCTACCCTCCTTCTAAGGTCAGTAAAATGAGGACTCAGATTGTTGGGGTCAATATGCTGACATTGTAAATTGCCCAGAGAGTGCTGTAAAGTACTGTGGGGGTGGTATATAAGTCTAAATTATATTGCTATTGCTATCTCTTTTGGAAAATTCTGTTCTTTTTATTTGTAGGAATTCCAGATAGTCAACATTTCTCTATCTTTACCTCCAGTTCTTCCTGAGTGCTGCTGTTCTGCACCAATCACTGTGTATCTTGCATTTTATTTTAGATCAAATCAATTTTATATAGCCAATTATGGCAGATTAAAAAGAATTAAATAAATATAAATTAGCAGCTTAAAAATCCTCAGGTATTAACCATTCTATTTCTATTGGTAGATTTATGTAAATGCTGCAAAATAGGCTTGTCTTTTTCCAAGATTAAAAGTATATACCATGCTAAAAATATCAGATCATATGCCTGTGTTAGAAATTTAACTTCAGCAAAGAACATGTTATCAAACAAAGAATAGAGATTTCATCCAAACTTCTGAATGCTTTTATCTGACTGTGATTATGAATCAGGAAGGAAAGAGGAACAGTTTATCCTTTATGTAAAATAGTAGAGTTATTACTTTTATAGCCACCTAAGCAATTTGTTTTATTTTGGGCTGCCAGACAACTTTCTGTGTTATTACTTAATAGGATAACTGTGCAATGTGTTCAATGTACCGGTAACTTACTCCCTAAAGCTTTACTATAGTACTATAGAGTTGTAAACCAAAAAACAAACAAACCCCTACTTAAATAATTTGAAATGGTTTGCATGGCTATGGTTTCAGCAGGTAATAGTTGACATGGAAGCATAGTTAATGTAATTTAATCAGTTATTTATTTACATTTCCATAAACATGATTTGTGATGACTGTAAGGACTGTATGGACACCATCCTAACCTGTTTCTAGTAATAATGTATAGCTTTTCCATGGACATTCCAGAAATTATCTTGATCCCTTCCACGTACCTGATCTGTTGTCTTCTATTTTGCTCAAATTTACCAAGCATAATAAGTTTTTCCAGACATCACAACTTATATCACGTGCCGTAAATATGTGAGTTTCTGCTTGCTGATCATTGCCTCAAGGGAGCAGTCACTTTTTATTTCATCCAGAACTGATTATCATTCTTCGTGCATTCCATAGCATTCCTAATAACTGTCTCCAAATCCATAATTTGAAGGCATTTTTTGCTTTCTCACTGTCCAGTTTTCATAGTTTTATTATTACTACTCTAAAGACCATTATTTTGACAGATGTGGTCACTGTTGTAATTGAAATCTCCTTATGACCAGAGTTTTCTATGGTTTCTCAGAATCTGATAGAAACCCAGTGCAAAACACCATCGCATGGTGTTTTATGCAACACATAGGTTGCATTCAGTTCAGATTTCCCTGGCAGATTTTACCAGCATTATGTACAACCTGAATATTTGCATTATTCTTGCTTTATGTTATCCATTTTGAGATTAAGCAGCTTCTTAAAACTCTATATAGCAGAGTTACTGAACTTTTTCCTCTCTACTTATATTATGCCAGATGAGTGTTTTCTGCTTGGAAATGTATAAACTCTGCAATGTTGGCTTAATATATATGCATGTTGCTCTGTTTTGAAAACATGGTTTCTAATCTGGAATTAAGACAGAATTTGCAGATATAGGCAGAAACTCCCTCTGTGATTGAAATTGGCAGATAGCTTTTTTTTTACTTTTTTATTTTTGGCCCCCATTAGGGCCATTTATCTTGCATAGACAGGTTTTACTATGCATTGAATTATATAATATAATCCAATGCAGACTTCCTTTGTTCTGTATTAAAATAATATTTTTTAAAATAGTTAGGCCTATCTACAGTAGGTCTTTATAGTTTCTAGCCACTATCTCCAATCTGTGGATTTTCTTTCCAGTTCTCATTCACAAACTTCCTCTGCAGTCTTTGAAAATACTTCCTCAGAGAAATCAAACAAAGGTCTACTCCCAAATTATTCTTATCAGGAAAAGTGTTTATTTTTGTTTCTGCATGTGACCAAGTGATAGAAAGCCATGGCTGAATGCAGGCTCTCGTAATGTTATGCTTCATTATCTAAACTAAAGGCAGTACAATAAGCAGGCATTTTAATTTTTCCTATAGGCCCCAATCTCAATAAGAAGTGTCACGTCCTCTACAACCTAGTCAGGGATGACGGTAGCCTTATTACATGCTATTCTGACAGCAACAGGCAAGAGTCCAGGGCTAACAGGAGTCTGGTTATCTGTTCCAGAGGGTAAATACTGAAGGCAAGACATGGGATAGCTCTTAAACATCATTCCCAGCTCAACTCTGTCTATTACAGTTCCAATAAAGGAATCTGCCCATACTTTTCCCCTCCCTCCCACATGTTTAAACTGTTCAAGAACAGACAGATGCTATTGAGTGATAAATGAAGAACAATCATTTTTATGAAATACTCAAATTCCATCTAAACATTAAGTCTGTAGTATGTTTTGTTTTGTAAAAAAGGAAGCATCTTCCATTAAATGGCTATCACAGACATCACTATTGTTTAGAAGCTGTTTCCCAAGAGGAGAACTATAATTGTTCTGTTCCATGGAGTGGAAAAATGTGTATATAATGAATCTTGAGTGGGCAACTGCTATTTAAAGAGTTATATAAACATATAACAATTATTGTAGTTCAGTACATAGCAGGAATACTGTTTAATCATTCATTCACTCACTCACTCTTTTGCCATTTTCTGTTTCTTTGAATATAAATAAATTATGCATCAATTTTTCTTCCATTATTACTATAGTGGATCCTGGAGGAGCACAATAGTACTTTTTTTAGAGCTATTTCAGTCAGTCTTTCAGCTGGGATATGATACTGAAACTACAGTATTTTGGTCACTTTGATGAAAGACCTAAACTGGAAAATGGGTGACAGAGTTTGGGGCTACTAAGCTTCCTGGATATGCCTAAAAAAACAAACCTGATAAATTCAGATTTAGTAGCAAGACACCACATTTTAGTTATATTTAATACTGCAACGTTCTCTACATGAGGCTATCCATGAAACATTATATATAACATTAGTTATATAACAATAGTTTAAAAGAAATGAAATGCAGGGCATTGTTTTTATTTGTAATACTTGTGTTATTATTTGTGTATCTCTTTTAAAAATTAATAAAATATATAATAAAAAAGCATATACAGGTAGTCCTTGACTGCAACTGTTCATTTAGTGACTGTTAGAAATTACAATCACACTGAAAAAAGTGACCTAGGAGCATTTTTCATACTTATAACTGTTGCAGCATCCCTGTGATCATGTGATAAAAATTCAGATGCCAACTGACTCATATTTATGACAGCTGCAGTGTCCCGGGGTCATGTAAGTCCCTTTTTGTGACCTTCTGACAAGAAAAGTCAATGAGGAAGCCAGGTTCGCTTAGCAACCATGTTACTAACTTAACAACTGCAGAGATTCATTTAACAACTGTGGCGAGAAAGGTCATAAAATGGGGCACTTAACAACTTTTTCGCTTAACAACAGAGATTTTGGGATCAATTGTGGTCATAAGTCAAGAACTACCTATAGAAGTTGCAGTTACTGTAGGATAAAATGTGTCAGCTAGGCTACTAACTAGTTCAGGTTGCATAAACCTTGTGATATCTGTACTGAAAGATCTACATGCCTGGCATAATTTAAGGTTTAGTTAGTATGTAAAGCTCTAACAGCTTAGGGCCTGCTTATCAAAGGACTGGCTCTTCTTTGAACCTTGCTGTTTGTTAAGATCCTCAGTAGAAACATGGGTCTTTGTCAGTGGTGGGATTCAATTTTTTTAACAACAGGTTCTGTGGGCGTGGCTTAGTTGGGGGTGTGGCTTGGCAATCATGTGACTGGGTGGTGTGGCTAGCTGGTCACGTGACTGTGTAGGCGTGGCTAGCTCATCATGTGACCGGGTGGGCGTGGCTATGTGCATAGGGACTACTCAGAGGGCTGAAAAAAGTCATTTCTGACTGGGCCTCACACTTTTGACCGGTCCTCACACTTATGACCATCCTCACATTTATGCCCGTGCAGCTTTCTTAACAACGATGTCACTCATTTCACAACTGCTTCTCTTCACCATGGTGACAAGATAGGGCAAAAACGTAAAATGTGAGGACAGTCGTAAGTTCGAGGACTGGTCAAAAGTGTGAGGACCAGTCAGAAATAACTTTTTCAGCCCTCTGAGTAGTCCATATGCATAAAAGGATACAGCAATAGAGAGGGATGAAGGAAGGGAAGGGAAATTAGAGTAGGAGGGAGGGTAAGAGAGGGAGGAAGAGAGGAGGAGAAGGAGAAAGGAAGAGGAAATAGGGAGGAGAAGAAGAGGGGGAGGAAGAGAAAGTAAGAAGGAAAGAAAAGAGAGAGGTGGTAGGTTTGAGGAGAAAGATTGCTGTACAATAAAAAAGATGAAAGGGAAGAAACCCAACCCCAAACAAATATAAAGATATTAAGATAAAAAATGAATTGTTAAACTTTAAAGAATAAAAGAGAACAAATATGAATAAATAACAATAATTAGAAACACACATACAAACATACAATGTATTTTCTTTGAACAGAGTATTTGGCCGGTTCACAAATTTAAACAGTGTTTAGTCATTTCAATTAAATTTACAATTTCTATATTTCCTTTTTGCCATATTTATTCCTCATCTATTTTTGTAAAAAACCAATATTACCCTTCATCCTCATCTCTAATCTTAATCAAATTCAATTTTTCCCTTCTATTCTATATTATACCCCTTCCCATTGTCATCTATTTTTATATCCATCCTCACATTGGTTAATTATGTAATATTAGTTGTTTAATATAAATTCAACATTTTAATATAAATCAATTAGTTATATAACTACCTTTTTTGTATATTAATCAATATGAGCATGAATATTCCAATTATTTCCATGCAATCCAATTTCTTACAAATCAATTAATTATATTTACCAATAATAATAAACCAAATAATTTTCCCCATATATTCCTCCAAACCACAACTTAACCATTTCTGCTTTCAGAAATATACAATTAATACTATCTCAATTATTACAATTCCCTAGTTAAATAGAGCTTTTTTTCTTTTGTGTTTTAAAATCTTGAACTCTCCTCTTTTTCCCTAAATTTCCCATTGTTTGCACTTACCTTTTTTGGTGAGGAAAAAGAAAAGAATTCTGCCTGCCTAATTTTCCAACGTTGCAGCAACAGCAGAGCAGTTTCAGTTTCGTGTTTCAGCATAGCTAGGGGGAAAAAAAATTGCTCCAGGACTCTTTGCAAGGAAACAGCAGAGCCCTGAGCAAAACAGCTGAGACAAATCAGCTGAGTCTCGGGAGCCGATCTAAGCAAGGGCTAATTAGCCTATGCTGAAGCTCCGCGGGCCAATAAAATTACAAAAAAACACCAAACCCTTTGTTAAATTGCTGGCTCGCCCGCCCCTCGCCCACCACTATTTATTGGCAATAAATAGTGGTGCGGAGGGGCGGGGCAAACCAGCAATTTAACAAACAGTTCGGCTGCACCACTGGCTCTAGGGCGGCCCTTTGAAGCCCCGCGGCAAGAATTTGAACAGGTTTTTTTCCTCCAGCCATCAGCTGGGACTCCGGAGGCAGCAATAGATTGGGAGTGGGCGGGGTAAGCGAACGGCCGGCGATCCAACAGAGCAGAGAGTGAGGGTGAGTGAAGGCGTGGAAGCTGCTTTCTCCATCCTGCTCTCTTGCGTCCGGAGCTGGTGGGGAACCACGTGGCAGCCCACGTGGATCCCAGGCAGCGGAACTCAGGCTAGGGAAGGGGTAGGCAATTGTGGCTCTTTTACAACCTGTGGCCTTCAACTCCCAGAATTGGCTGTCTCAGGAATTATATAGGGTATAGGCTGGCGCCACGTGGATGGGAGGCGGGGCGGGGCGAGGGGCGGGCGAGCCAGCAATTTAACAAACGGTTAGGTGTGCTGCGGGGCCAATAAATTACAAAAAAACACCGAACCATTTGTTAAATTGCTGGCTCGCTCGCCCCATTTATTGGAATAAATAGTAGTGCGGAGGGGCAGGGCAAGGGGCGGGGCGAGCCAGCAATTTAACAAAGGGCTCGGCCGAACACCCTAGAACCCCCAGAATCCCACCACTGGTCTTTGTGGAGGAACAGGGAAAAGCGATGGGAAAAGTGATGACATATATGCAGCACACAACTTATGTACAGTTTATGTATTTGTTTCAGACATTGTTTCAGACATTGAGAGTCAACTATTTAATATCGGCATTTGTGTGATGGCATCATGATTTTCTGCAGATAGCTCAGAAAAGATTTTTTTGCAGATGCTCTAGAGAAGTTTCTTGCAGATACCCCTGCTGTTGGGAAGTTCATCTTTCAAGCATGCAGGAGAAAGCCTTCTCCTGTATGGTTCCTGGACTAATATGTACTCCATTATGACTGCATTTAATTTTTTCACTCTCTCAGACTTTGGGAAACTTTTCAAGGTGCAACTCTTAGGGTAGATCGTTAATTTTATTTTTAGTGATCATTTATATACATGTTTATATATACCATTAGGGTTTTACATTTTTTGTTAGCTGCCTTGAATGTATCCTGGAGTTGAAAGGCAAGATGTATACAAAATAAAAAATAAATAATCCTTTTTTTAAAAAAAAGAAAGAAAGAAAGAAACATGTATATACTTTTTATAAATAATTCAATAAATGCCTAATTCCTATATATTTATTGTGGAAACATTAACAGAAAGCCCCTGTGAATGATATTCTGTGGTCATATTCTGGACATGCTATTCATATCCTTATTTACCTGTTTAGTCATACATACGCACTTTCCAACGTGCCCTGAAGACCTTTCTGTTTCAGCAAGCAGGTCTAGCATAAACATCTAAATTCTATGCCAAGGTCTTATCAGATACACTAAGTTGACTCAATTTATTATTTACTGTTTATAAAAAAATAAAATAAAAAAATCATTATCTTATTCTGTTCACCGCCCTGAGTCCTTCAGGAGAAAGGCGATATAGAAATTCAATAAATAAATAAATAAATAAATAAATAATAATAATAATAATAATAATAATAATAATAATAATAATAAAAAATTTAATGGATAGCATTCCAGATCAGTATTCATCTACTTCGATGCAAACTGCACTGGAACAAATGAGATATATTCCTGCCCGATGGATTGGGGTTGAATATGTTTTGTGAATGTGACATCTGAAAGTATGGAATGGTGGTGCCCTCCCTCCTATTCAAAATACCATTTTTATGATCTTGCCTTTCCTTCTACCCTAAACACATGAATACCATCAACTTTGCAGTAAAAATCAAGTGCAGGCTGCTCTCCAATTTCATGCATCAATATTGCTTGAAATTAATGAACAAATTTATTTTGGTTGCCATATGTTGAATCACTCTGCAGGAATGTGTATTTCTGGGTTGAGCGCATCCTCTTTCGTCTCTCTGTGTGCCTCGGCACACGTTGGCAGTCGGGTCATGCAGACTAACTCTTTCCCTTTTCCCTCCTCTCCCTAACAGGTGACCTCATGCATTTGCCACCGTATCTTCGGATGGACTTTTTGTTAAACCGAGGCGTTCCGGGCACTAGCAGAGACTTGGGACAGACCTGCCTGGAACCCCAAAAAAGCCGAACCTTGAAGCGCCCAGCCGTCTTGGAGCCAGTCCCTGTGGAGGCTTCCTCCACGAGAGAAGCACAGTCATGGCAATCTGGTGGCGTAGCAACATTACCTCAGCGAGAAGGAGCTGAGCTAGGACAGGCAGCAAAAATGAGCAGCTCCCAAGAATCCCTCCTGGACTCTCGGAGCCACTTAAAAGGAAACAATCCCTACGCAAAATCTTATACCCTTGTATAACGAAAAGAGAGCATGGCTGGACAGTGGCTGTACATACTTAATAATTATTTAAAAATCCAATCAAAGCTACCTTTTTTATTGAATACCAATATTTATAATTAAAGAAGAAGATTGCCAAAATATTTGGGACAAAAATGCAACTGACAGACAGTGCAAAGACTCTCCTGCTTTTTTTCTGTCTGAGTGTGAGCTTCATCTGAATGAACCTCCTCAATTTTTTAAGAAAAGGGAGTCCACTTTTTCTGATATTCACAAGCTTTTGTGTTTTTACTGGTTTTCTACAAAGTGCATGGGGACTAAATAAAATATTTTAAACTGGGAGTTCCATCACACACAATTAAGAAAGAAAACAATTTTAAAAAAAGGAAAGCACTCTATTTGTGAATTTAACAGGGATATTTATTTTAAAAAAGGCAAAAAAAGTCTTTTGTCATGTTTTGCACATTTTTTTTAAACTAGCAAATGGGTCGTTGATCAATTCTTTTTTCACTGTTAATTAGAATGAGTGCTGTGTGTCAGTGAAGTGGGGAAGGGAAGGGGCATCAATTTGATTTGGCATCTCTTTTCTTTTTATATTAATTTAATGAGACACTCTTTGCATTTTGTCTATGCGAAATAAAAGGGTCTTCTGCCTTTATCTGTGCATCTGTATTGCCTTCCCTTATTCACACTGTGTTCATTTAGCACAGGTAATTTCATTTTTTGTAGACTTATAATCTCTATAGACTTGCCTAGAAAAGTTTTTAATCATTGGGGAGGTCATAATAAAACTCGGGCTGACATATAACAAGATGAGCTTGACTTTATAGTTATAAAATGTATAATTATTCATCATTTATTTATGTTTTTCTTGTTTTCATTTAGTTCTATCTCCAATAGACAGTTATATTAAAAGGTATGAGAAGCAATGTTCTCCTGGGTTACATTGGTTAGGGACTAAAAGAAGAAAATAACTTTTATTTTCTTTGCCAGGTAGAACATGAAGCTGATGGATAGAAAGGGTATGGTTCTTATTAAAGCCCAAAACTTTCTAGGAAGAATGTGAAGCAGACTTGTTTCATTTATTCAAAGATCCTTGTGGAATATATGATTATTGTATGTGCTCCACAAGAATCTTTGAATAAATGAAACAGGTCTGCTTCACATTGTTCCTAGAAATTACTGGGCTGCTTTGTTTCATAAAACCAGTGATTTCTTCAAGCTTTTGTTGAAATGAAATACCCCTGCAGAGATCTAAATAGCCCTAGTAAAATCTAGTTTTAGGCCTGAACATGAAGCTGGTTGAAGAAAGGAAATACTCATTTCTTAATTTACCTTTTCTTACAGGGCTCAAGGCAGTATATATAGCAGCCCTTTTTTCATTTTTAACCACAACTCTGAAATGAATTGGGCCAAGTGGCAATAATCCAGTGAGTTTCCATACAGAGTGAATTTGAATCTGGGTATCCTCAGGCCTAGTCCAAGACTCTAACCAGTAGATTTATTTCCTAAAAATTCTAGATGAAGTAGGAATAAGAAAAATAAAGAAACAATAAAATTGATGCATCTTTAAACCCTTAAGTATAATTTTATAAGCTATGATGCTTTATCCAAATAATGGAGTTCAAGGCTGGTTGCCTTTTTGAAAGCTGACTATGCTCTATTTGATATTGCAACCTTCTTGTGAATATTTTGAAATATAGGATGCTTGCTAAGATATTTTGCTGTCCTTCACCACTGCTGTTTTATCTCTCAATGGTGATCTAGTTCAGGGGTCTCCAACCTTGGCAACTTTAAGATTTGTGGACTTCAACTCCCAGAGTTCCTCAGCCAGCAAGCTGAGGAACTCAGCCAGCAAATTGGAAGCTGAAGTCCACAAGTCTTAAAGTTGCCAAGGTTGGAGACCCCTGAGCTAGTTCATGCCTTAGCTCTCTCCCCTCCTAAAGATGGTCAGTCCCAGCATCTGCAACGCAGAACAATTACATCACACATGTTAATGGTCCACAATCCTGAACCTCTCACACTACCCATTTAGAGACACATTGATAAAATAATACCAGTAACAATAAGGACCTCATCACAAGGAAAACTGCAAACTTTAAAATCCCATTATATATATCTAACTTAAATAGTTTTTAGTCATTTTTTTTCTCTGTGTCAGATGAAATGTAGGATTGCAGTTTAGACCTTTGGGGTTACAGTTTAAGTTGTTCATAGAAATACTGGTAAATACTTCAGACCGTTTTCCTTTTCTCTATCCTAATCAAAGAAGTTAATTAAATCAGGGAAGTAGGGAAATTGTTTTATTTTGTTTTTATATATCTTTTACATAAAAAGAGTACATTCAACAAATCATCTAGATGTTTGAATTGTAAGATCCAATTCCATATAGAGTCTGCAAGTCAGTAAAATATTACCATCTGTTGAAGACAAATTACATTTTGAACATTTATGTATTTTGATTGCATCAAAAAAAATTGACTTTTAGGTGAATCTTAGTTATAGAATCTTAGTTATTAAAATGATTAATATGATTTTGAAATACATCTAGAGAGCATAAACAAACAACAAAAGATAATTCTTGTTATTTCATTTGCGGTGTCCTTGCAAAGCCCCAATATCAAACACCTGGTTACAGCTGGGAGAACCAACTGTAGACTATGAGACAGGGATTAAAATTTTCTATAGCAGCAAGGTTTTTGCTTCAATCTTATTTTGAAAACCCCCGCATGTGTATGTTGAACAATTTCTTTGCAGTGCATGAATGCAAAACATCTTTTCGTCAGAATGACTATTAGAAGTGACTCTCCTTTCTTCTCTTTTACATGACAATGATCAGCTAGTCACATAACTATTCCTATTTTAGCAATTTAAGATTTTCAATTATGATGTTACTTGTTTTTACCCCATTCTTTTTGTGACATTTGTTTAATATTTGTTAAACTAAAGTACTGATAATGTATAACCTTTTAATTTATAACAGGAGACAACTGAGTGGCTATTCTTCTAGCCTTCTAGCCTTAAGATTCTGCTAATCCTATGAATATTTACAATGACTGGCTTGAAGAGAATAACAACCTAGATGGCTATCATATGTATCAGGTTCTATACAATGACTATGTGCATATAGCTGGATGAACTTTCCATGGTGAATGAACTCTTTGGGAATTTATTTTAAAATGTATAGAGAGCTAAAATAATTTTATTTGAAACATAAAATGAATTATAATTTTAATGCTTTCGAATGTATGTTTAAGATGTTTTTTCTGTTTGTTCTTTACACTACTTTCCATATTCACTATTATTTTTCCAGCCAGTGTCTTAAACCAATGCCAGATGCATTTACTAGTTCTCAATAAATGTTGAAGGCTGTCCTGTGTTCCTGACACTGAGCAGTCTTTGGATTTGATGCTAAACTTCAGCTGCAAAGTAAAACATTTTAAAGCACTACCTTTGGAAGTCAGAAAGTATAAATGTCACCTTCTGTACAACATAGTGTTGATTTCCGAAATGTGCTGAAGATATCAGCAGAATGAAATGAAAGAGGAAACAAATTTGCTTTTCTTTTGCTGATATCTGCAAATGGAGCAGATTTAGTACAGAGGTATCAACCGTGCAAATCATATATTGTAAAAAAAATCCCCCAAATTAAACAAACGATATGACAGACAACCGAAGCTTGTCCCCTGGAACAGTTCAGTCTAATATTAGATCTACCAAGATGAAAAGTACATGTTCCTTACTTCTGTCTAAATGTAAACATGACTAGATCATGTTTTAGATTCCCTAATCAATTTAGAGCTCTCAGTGACATTTGCTATCATTGGCTATAGCATCCTTTTTGACAATTAAGAATTGAGGCACTGCTGTGCAGTAATTCTGTTCCTTCCTAAGTGGGCTATTCCAATCAGTCAATGATGAAAGAGAGGTTAAATCTTTGGGCAATTCAGTGTCGGGGTACCCCAGGGCTCAGCCCTTTCTTCTGTTAGAAGTGGTTTAGGTGAGTATCATCACTATAAATCTCCACCAATGATATGGAAGCTTTGACCTTGTGTCAAAATGAGAGATCAAAGGGAGTAGAACTGACTAAGTCTGAATACCAACAAGATGAAGTTGCTGTTAGGCCTCAGGTACCACATAGGTTCAATCTATTGCTTTTGATAGGATTGTGATTCCTCTGAAGGAGTAGTGTGTGCATTTTTGACTTGCAGCTCTTGCTATAACCTTTCTTGGACTGGGAGGCATTGAAGACAGTAACTTAAATCATTGAAATTTTCTGGTTAGATTTCTGAAATTTATTCTGTGTGTGGCTGCCCTTGACAATGACACAGAAGCTATAACTGCATGGAATGTGGCTGCCAGTCTGTCAACTGATACCTAACTGATTTAGAAGATTTACATCTATACTGTAGAAACTACATTGCTTCTAGCTTCAATGCAAGATAAGGCTTCTTTGGGATTGCAAGACAATAGGTTCAAGCCAAGGTGAAATGTCAGAAAGGATTTTATTGAAAAACATCAAGAGTTACAGAAAAAGAAATGGATATCAATATATATTTCTTCATCTTTCAGAAATCCCAGAAAGGACAGCACAGACCCTTTAGACCCAGCAATTGTGCAGCACCTTTTCTTCTCAAGACTGAGGTCTATACCAAGGTTCAACTTTCTTAGGAATTTCCTACTTTTTAATACTTTTCTAAAGACTCAGGGTATATAAGCAGTAATCTGGAAATGGTTTGGTAGCCCACTTTCCCACTGACTTGGTTGAAACTTGAGACCTTTGACTTTCTGACAGATATATTTTTAAGTAAAGCAATGTCCCTAAGCAAAATAAAGCAAAACAAAGTCAAGGATAGTCTGCTGATATATCTTGTCAAAAAAAACCCTGGGAACTCAGACTTTGCAAACAAATTTGTTACATCCAAATTGCCTCAACTGGCTTAATACCCCTTTCTATATCTTATATGTCCAAAGGGAAAAAGGGCTCCACAACACTATCTTGCTAGTCTTTCCCAATGCCAGAGTGGTCCTCATGAGGAGATTGGCAGGCAGAGACCCAGAGGAAGGCATTTTCAACCAAAGCCAGCTGACTTTGGAACTCCAGCTCCCCTAGAAGCCAAGAAGACTGCCACTCTGTCAAACTTTTTATAAACTTTAGAAAGTCTATAAAATGGGGGTCTTTTGCAAGCCTTTAGTGTGGAGAACATCAATTAGGCAGAGTGCAGTGGTGGAATTTTAAGTGCACTTTTAACTAATTACTATTATTATGTTTTTATAAATGTAAGTTTCCTAGAATGTCACAAAAGGCAGCATGCAAATGGCTGCACAAATAATACATTATCCATGTATCAAATTCACTGTATGAAACCAACTAGACAAGGAATGATCTGCATTTGGTTGGTTAAAGAAATGTCCTTGGAATTCCAAAATGAAATTATTTCACAATAGAAGGTCCATCTTTCCATGATCTTACAGGTAAACTGGGGACCTACTGCTTTATTATCCATAAAGATTATTTCAAGTCAACTTCTTGTCAAAATGGTAATCAATTCACCATTGAGTTTTCTGTCAGTTTAGGAAGCTTGTATGGCCTTTTCCCAGCTGCAATGTTCTATTATTTCTACTGTTCCAATAAGCATGTTGGTTCATCTGAGATGACTTATT